GAAATACATCTAATTAATTTCAAATAAATATGGTCATAAAATAGTGTTTTTTTGAGATGCATGTGTATGTTGGCATACCAAAACTGTCCAACAAACTCCAACCTACTATGCATTCTGATCTAACTACACACTGCGCTCTACAATGTGCTTGTGTGTGACAATGACTACCAAATTTTCCGACCCAAAGAATCCACCAAAATTAACTTTAATTTAGTTCTGTCAAACTATGTTACGTCCGTCTCGGTGATTCTAAAAACCCACGCCTAGCCAGTAAATGGAATAAATATTACCTTCGGAAGGAATTTTCCAAATATTCACGGAACTCTTTCTATTTATCAAAATAGACACTTTCTAACTTATTAATAACTAAAATATTATTTAATTGTATCCTTCGTAGGTATTTTCCAAAGTTATCGGCAACACTGATTAGTTTTTCTCTATACTTTATCAACACTACATATTATAATTTTTTTTTTTTTTTTAGAAATAATTTAATTGGTCAGTCTCATTAAAATACGTCCCAACAATTTTTTCTAAAATATATTATGTTCGTTAAAATTAAACTTTAGAACTTACGTAATAAAGTAAAATCTGTAAACTTTAATACTTTAACACATCAAATAAGTTATGCATAAAAGTTACAAATTAAATAAAAACTTTAAGGTTATACAGTAGCTCAGACTGTATAAAAGCATAATAATATTTGCTCCCGCAATTTATGTTAGTGTAACATTGCACATAATTAATGTACACATTTTTTATGTAATAAACACGACCCAGACATTAATATTCTCATGTTTTTAATTCTACATTTAATGACACATTTTCTGTTATTACAATATTAAATATAACTAAAAGATAACAACTTGGACGCTTAAATTCTAATTGATCAGTTATTTTGAATAAGCGAACTTTTGAAATGATATAATAAAAGGGTGTTTTTTGTAAAAAGAGACTTTTCAACAGATGTTTGTAACGACTTATATGGATCGATGGAGTATGTCTAGTGTTTAATGTTAAATTCCGAATACAAAGAAAATTCTTATTAATTTATACTTTTGTGTCTATTTATATTTTATTTACTAATAACGCCGTATAAAGGAAGTAATTTACTTGAAGAATAAAAAATATATTTATATATTGGCTAAATATTCGAAAAAATATTTTTAAAAATTCATAGAAATATTCTCATGTAATATTTAGTATTGAAATATATTCTATTGTATGAACTGGCTTTAGACATGAAGATTCAATAAGAATTTAAATTAAAAAAAAACACTTAAGTTATTGAAAAAAAATACTGTTCAAATAAAAGCAATCACGTACTGTGAGATAAAATACATCTTCACTTCAATTATATAACTTTAAATAATAGTTGTAAGAAATAACAAATTAAACAAATTCAAATGCTAATTATAAATTTCTTCATGTTGAAGATAAAATTATGCTACAATTATTTAATTAATATTTTAAATTTCCAATAGTTATTAATTTTATTAAATGTAATTTTATTTTAGTTTTCATGGTTAATTTTATGAAATATATTAATCAATTTTTATGGATATTTCTCAACTAGAAATTACTTATTTGATTACACAAAACGAAGCTTAATACACTTTTTAATATTATATGAATAAATACAGTTATTGTACAAGGTTGATTTCTACCGAAGTAATTGTACTCTTTCTCAAATTACTTAATGTGCACATTTTCCGCTGTTTTTAAGGGAATCCCATCGTTTGCGCCAATAAAAAACAGCAATGGTAAGGCGATTATCTACGTCAAGTCCATTTCGAATTAGACGGATACATAACGATTCAGTGTACAAATAAAATTTTAGCTAAGTGTATCGTTGTTTTTCTAAGCTCATAAAGTTGAGTAGTTTCAAGCAAATAATCGTCGAACGCAATCCAAAGGGCGTCCGAGAAAAATATAAGATATACTCGAGTTTGACGAAAACAACTTAAACGTTTTAATCCCTGGTCACAATTAATGATTTTTTTCCTTTAAAGGTAATTCCGTCTTTTGTAAAAAAAAAAAAATCTCATACACCAAAAAAAATCACAAATATTTCTCTTTATAATTGAGCACGTCTATAGTCTGTTAGCTAGAAATTACTCTCTAGGCGATCATATACGTACTGTTTTTTGTTTCTTTCTTCATTTAACTCACCAAAACGGTTTTAATAGCTTTGAGCAGCGTCTCGCTGATTTTTTTTAATATCAACTTCCTAGCGCACATTTGTGCGTCAGACATAAAATTTACTATAGTAGTCGTTGGCTTCCGCTGAATATTAATTTTTTTTTTTTTTAGGGATATTTTAATAGACATTAGCCGAAGTAGTCACTGAAAGATCCGGCCGAGATTGAGTGAGAAAGCAAAAAAAAAAACTCCATCCCAATGGGCGTCTCGGTTTAGACGAAATAGGATATACATAGCGACGGGTTTAACTTGTTAACGATATCTGTTTTGGCGACGTTATGCAAATAGGAGACTATTAAAACGATGCCATTACGGCGAGAGGGGCAGTTTCTCGTGTACCCGTCTATTTTTCTCTGAAATTTCCTAACGATCTCAGTCGGACGGTGGACAGGGTTTTTAAACGGGTACATCCATTGAGAGATTAAGTTTTAGTGAACTCCTTACAACACTATTTTGTTACTTTGCCGTATTGTTTCCAGCCATTTGCTTGTACTCCGTTTAAAAAAGACAACGTGAGAGTTTGAAAACGGCGTTGCACAAAACACTCACAGGGATATTAAACGACAAGTTAATGTAATGTTGTTCACTGCGTACTGACTATTAACAACAGCACGAGAATGTTATGAGAATAGTTTAGCTAGTTATCCAAAGCAATTCTAATCCCGTTGGATCCGCCGATGTTCATTGAAACGTGTTAAATTAAGTGCGGGTTGTCGTCGTCAATCTTATCCACTCGGTCGCAGCATCGTCTGCCGAGTAATTACAAGTTGTATTGGCAGCGACTCATATTAAATCAAAAACCACGTCTCGGCAAATGAACTGTGTTTGGAAGCGTTTCTCCGATTAGCCGACTCGGTCAACTCTTGAAGAACAATTGACGAGAATTTCATTAAACGAAAATGTTGCGCTCGAAAACGCGTTCGATGGCGCGGCAGAAAATGGTTTTTTTATTTCATACGACTTTCTATGGTGGTGGTGACATATTTTACAAGTCTTTAAAGTTTTCAGCGCAAAATCTCGTCTATACAAAATCTTTAGGTCGCGTTTAACAGTTGTTTATTGTGGTCGAAAGAAGTAATGCGAAAAAGAAACTTTTTTTTTTTTCCAACAAAACCAACAGCTTTTTCCAAAGGTCCCCCGCTTTTGTGGAACGCACTTTCTGGAATTCCTCTAGATGCCTTGAAAATACTGGACGGCGGTCTGCCTCTGGTAATCAATGCAAACGGGCGCGAATGCGACAAACGTCTCCTGGGACGTTTTAGGAATTCAAGTCGTGGGGTCTCCGACGACCGATCGACGGACGGTCGTCGAATGTAACGCGTTTAAAGGACGTCGCCGCCGCCGCCGCCGCCACCACTGCCGCCATCTCCTAATCAATATAAAATACCCGCCGTCCTTACAGCCACCACTTCCTTCCCAGATCGTCGCCGTCGCCGTGGCGCCCCACTTTTACAAAGCGCCCGCGTCACATGTACCGATCTTCACGTTGGGTCGCACGAAACAGTAATATGGCATGCCAATTCGTGTGCCGAGTCAAGTCTAGTAAAGACATGTTGCTTCGGAAATTCAAAGACAAGTATTCAAATTATTCGGTTGGCAAGCAGCGTTAACGGCAATACCTCCTCCTCCGCGCGCCGACAGGCTGTTCCTTATTAGCGTTATTACCGCCGGTACGATGAGCGTTCCTTCAAACACCTATAAGTGTATTATAATATACACAAGGCCCCTCTTATTGACTTGCCGCCAGTAAAGAACTAAACCACATTAACTTATACAGCAGCTATTTTTATTTCTATTTACTTTATTTTATGTAAACCCCATCGAATCTCTTTAGAATTACAAGGACGAAAACTGGATAACTACGTTAAAGAAGCGAACTTTGCTACCTGTCTAAACGAAATAGCGGAAATTGAAGTGTGCGACAGAGATAACAAATTTTGTTCTTTCGAAAACAAATCATATTATATTAAAAAATGGCATAACTTTCATTGCTAGTATTTCAACTAGCCCGAAAAAATAATACAGAACGATACGGTGACTTTTAATTCTTCAAATTTTTATTATAGTATCGCAGAAAAAATGTAAAAATTATTGATTTTAATATTAAGTAAAATCTTTCAATGCACCAGCTAAATTACAATTGAAATTTTCTATTTACTTCAGTAAGTGTCAATTACAAATAACACTTGAACGTTTTAAAAAACAGTCGTCGTAACATAATTCAAACATTTTACAAGAAAATACATTTAATTTGTATTCAAGTAATTTACTAAACAAAATGATTCTTTGTACCTCTGTTGTTTGTACTATACTAGTTTGAAATTATGATAGTTAGCAATTTCAACTATTTTATAAATGTATATTCTCAATATAATGCATATAAATAAAGTTTAATCAAAATATTTTGAATTCCTACGTGTCATTTAATAATTTTAGTAATTAGATATTTTGAGTTATTTGAATTTATCATTTGTAAAAAAAATCTAAGAACGTTTGTTAAATTTTATGCTTATTCGTGAGATGAAATTTAATTTTAAATGTTATTAATTCCAAGATGATATTTTATTTTTAAAATATTCAGGCAGTGGTAAGATTTAAATTTTTATTTTTAATTATATATTGTTGAAAAGTACAATTTTTCAAATAATTAAGTAACAATACAACTAGTTAATATTTATATATCGATTTTTTATACTAGTAGTATGTTGTTATTGCTTTATTAAATTTCTATTTATTTCTCCTAAACTTTCAAAAATGATTTTTTTTTCAAGGCGCACAGTGTATGTAAATAAACTTACCGATTTGATGTGAAGGTCGTGGATGGCGCGTGTGTTGAGGCACTGTAGTCGGTGCATCACAAGTTGCCGGTCGGTGGATTGCAGGCGAACTGACGACAGCATCACGGCCTGGCGGACCGTTACAGATTCATCGCCGTAGAGTATTTGTAGACACTCTTCTTTCCACTACATGTATCGCCATTTACACTGCGGACTTGCGCGCGTAGAATTTTAAAACTATCTCTATAGCTTAGAGATAAAGAAGTGAAAAAGTATGCAAAATTGTAGAAATTTTTATACTAAGCCAAATTGTCTTTATATAAATTTATACGTGAATCCCGCATATATCGTTTTATTATATTTTTTAACAAAAATACATTATTATTGAATAGCGTATTTGCTAATTTTAAGAATTATTCTTTGATCTATTTTGCAACTATATGATCATTGCATAGCCCAGTCACCAATATTAGCTATTCTAGTATTAATTTACTATCTTTAATAAAAATATTAAATTTAATTAAAAAAATACGATAAAATTGCACTGCTGTATTATTAAGGTATTTAGTCAAATTAAAAATATAATATCTTTTTTAATTGAATAACTGGCTTATCGTGCAATTTGCACTTGTAAATCAATCTTAAAAATTGATCCAATGTGTAAACATCTTATTGTTGGTTCTTCAAAATAAATAATTCAGTCTCTTTGTTAATAAACGAAAAATGATTAATCAAATTTCTTGGTTAGTCGTTAACCCACCTTTTGATAATTACTTTTCAAGATCCAACATATATTTTAAACTTCAAAGTTTAGACATTCAATGAAGTGTAGTTAACTATAGATATGCGCGGATAAAATAATTATACACTACACCTGTCTTCGTCCGTCATATTCATATAATCTTTTAAACTGTAACTTAAAACTTATAACTTGAGAAGTAATTTTCGGAAACTCATTATCAAGTATTCAATAGCTTAAAAAATGATTTCCATAATTCTTAGTTTTAATGAAATTTCTTCTTGATACTTTATTTGTAAATAATTTACAGTTCATAGACTACAACATTTTATGCAAATTTATTCGGTTTAAAAAATGCTGCAAATTTATTTAACATTAAGCAATGAAGATAAATTACACAATTAACATTTGCAAAGCATAACACGATATTATATTATTTAATAACATCATCCGTCAAACCGATTGTAAAACAAACGCTTTTTCTGAAGAAGTTTACATTTTTTTTTAATTCAAAAATACTTGATGTCTAAATATAATAAAATAGTTATCAAAAATTTTGATTCAAGTACATCTTTTATTTAGGTTGAGTATAGAGTTAAAACTGCTTAACCCTTCTTTGGTTATACAACGACATTTAATCATTTAATTAAAATCCAACATTTTTATTTATTGAAAATTATCTAAATTTTAAGTCTAAATAATAATTATTATAGTTCATAATTTAGCACAACATGTTCATAAAAATAAAATTGTAACATGTTTTACATTGTTTAGAATATTTACACATACGAGTATATATTCATGTCTTTATTTTTTGCTGACGTTTTCAATATATTGCAGAATTCAAAATGTCAGAACAAAACTGAAGATGTATATATAAATAGTCTAAGTAATATAATAATCTATGAAAACTTTAACAAATTCACATCATTTGTGGTTTTAGTAATTGTAAAAATAATCATTTTCAACTATTTTTCATAATATTATCAAGAGAAACATTTAATAAAAAGTCATTTTTGATGGAACCCGTCACGAATTTTTGTTGAACCATTTCTACTTACTGATCTTTAAAAATGATTAACATTTATAAATAAATGATAATTGTCGATTAATGATGCAATGTATTGACAGATAAAAAAAAATGTCTATAAATTATTTCTAAGATAAATTAAAACATTATAAATTGTTAAATAAATCAATATAAAAATAAAATTCATAGATATAAATAGCAAGAATATTTGAAATTTTACCGAATATCGCTTTTAGTTAGTGTAAACATAAACAATGATTTTTTAACTAAGATTATTATCTCTGTATTAATTTACTCTGTACTAACTCGTTAACAACTAATGTTCTAATAAAACTAAAATAAAGTTGTTTAACCTAAGATGCTTTTATGTGTTTATAGTACTAACGTATTTGGTTGGTACAACGTGACAAAATAATATCTGTCCAAATCAATCATCATTAGCTAGTAATTGCCAAGGAAACGTCTATCTTCGGTATTCTTCTTTCGACGTTCCAAAATTCTCTTTCGTCTCTAACAAACTCACGTCTTACCCTCATCCCTTTATATTTCACATTTATTTACAGTGCTCAACAACACTAGCTATATTGAGGTTAAAATTGTTATTAATTCATATAAAGTACAAATTATTTAAAAAAGTCTATAATACGAAAGGAAGATGTCCAAGTAGAAATTATCGGAATTTAAGAATTACCGTAAATAAAAAATATTGAATGTTTAGTTTTAAGTTTAGCTCAATGATTTGATGCACAGAAATAAGTACATAGACGCCCTCTTACAATTATTGCCAACAACATAATTGTTTAATGTATTAGTTGTCTTTTAATAAGAAAACAATGTTTCAATATAAATAACTAATGCTCAATGTTTTATTTATTGCAAAATTTCTCAAAGGTTACTTGCTTAATTTAAAATTTAAGCAATAATCTTTTATCCAGTAGAAAAGCCTGTGCCTTATCCAGTTAAAGTTCCCGTGAAAGTTCCAGTTCCAGTACCATATGAACAACGCCATGATCATCACGATGAACACGAAGAAGATTCGCAATCAAAATACGAACAAGAAGAACATAGTAGTTATTAAATCTAAACTATTTTCTCGCTAGTCCATACCAAATATCTTGTCTTTTATTTTTTTTACTACTTAAAATATATGTATATACTTAATCGTGTTACCGATGTGATTGTTTAAGTGTAATCAAATAATATTGTAAATATAAATTATTTTTTTACCTTGTTTTATTTGACGTGAGTTTTTTTTAAAGTCTTCTTTTAATTTTATTTATATTTTTTATGTGTTTTAGTCAACGGTCACAAGTAAGAGGTATAAACCATGATTAGATTAACACCAAAAAATAAAGAAAATAAATGTGTTGATTTGTGACAAACTAGTGACGAACTAAATACAATTTTTATTTGTGTCAACAAGAGTTTCGTCTTATTCAAAAAATATTTTTGATTGAATTTTAAAATTTTGAATAGTCAAATTAACTAGATAATCAGTTTTGTACTATTATTTTTTGAGTTAACTTAATTTTTTGAAAAAATATTTTATATTTGTGCATTATATTAATCATTATAGTTTTACTAAACATTCCTTACCTTTTATAAAGCTTAAAAATTAATATCACAAAACCGGATAAGAATATTACTTTTAAATATGAGAAAACAATTAAGGGTAGCTAGGACTTAAAGATATTTATTCTTTTTATTTACTTTTAATTCACGCTAATAAGCTAGATATTTCAATTAAGTTCACTCTTAAATTTTAGGTTATCTTTATTCAGCAAAATCTAATCTTACTATAACTTCTTAGAGCGTAAATGTTCAAAGAAAAGTTTTTGGTAGATTAAATTTCTAAATATTAAAATTCACTAGTAAAAAATATCTAATGTAGAATATTAAATATACCATATACCTATTTGCTTACGTCAATTTAAATTTACCACAATTTAAACCGCAATATTTTATTTATGTACATTTTCTTGTAATATTTCTTATATGATCTTTGTAACAACTGGTCAACTAGATCCTTCTAAAGGCGTTCTGTACCATACAAATANCTAGTAAAAAATATCTAATGTAGAAAATTAAATATACCATATACCTATTTGCTTACGTCAATTTAAATTTACCACAATTTAAACCGTAATATTTTATTTATGTAAATTTTCTTGTAATATTTCTTATATGATCTTTGTAACAACTGGTCAACTAGATCCTTCTAAAGGCGTTCTGTACCATACAAATATTAAACTAGACTAAGCCCAAGTGTTTTGTATCATAATCTTTATAATAATTCAAAAAGTCATACATTAAGTGTTATTAACAAATAATTGCATAGTTAGTAGGACTCTTAACAAAATATATGTTATTGGAATATCTATTGTAAACATTGAATATAGAATCAATTGCTTTTGGTTTAATTATTGCTAAATTATAGCCTTGCAGAATATAGCATGGAAAATTCTTGTGATAGTAGCAAAGCAGAGCATAGACGATTTAATAAGTTAAAGTTATGTTAAAAAATTTGGAATAGGCGTGTGCAGACTTTTGAGTCCATAGCAGCAAATACCTTCATCGGATCACATTACTATCTTAACGGCCACTATCCAAAAAATTAAATATAAGATTAATAGAGCTTCAATTAATTGTCCCTAGATGTTTCAGAAGTAATTAATTACGTTCTATAATACCCCTACGTACTAATAGGTAAAACATTTTTTTTAATCTTAAATTAAAAATTTTACTCAACAAATACTAACAATTAAATAAAGTTCACAATAATTATAATAATAAATTAAATATTTTAAGGTATAATAAAAATTGATCATTTGTGGCTAATATTATTAAAAATTAAAACGATTTAAAAAATATTAATTAGAATTACAAAATATTTAACTCAAAAAGCCACAAAAAAATGACTAAAAAATCATGGATACGTATTTAGAAAACAATGTTATCATTGTCAACGCTAAACACATACTGACACCGACAGGTTGGTTCGAACAAATTCATGAAAAGTTCTGCTAAAATTGGTAATAGCAGATTTCCCAATACTGTGCCCTCAGTTTGCTCATAAAATTTATTTTGAAACTAAAAATATTTTGACGCATACATCATTTTTTNATAAAATTTATTTTGAAACTAAAAATATTTTGACGCATGCATAATTTTTTAAATTAATAAGATCATTTAATTCATTCTGTTATATATATTGTTCCTCTATTTTGAAATTTAACTATTTTTAAGGATATCTAAACATACAACTTGACATATAACTAAAATCGATAATTGGAGTGTGTGAGTTGTACAACGGATACCTGATAATATATTCGTATCTTCATTGATGTAGTTAAATCATC